TGTGGCAGCCCTATAAAACTTACACTTGCGACAACTTTTTTGTCATCAAATTAGTGAGATTCGGCTCCGCTGATGTGGTTTTTTTTTCTAAGTCTATTTATTTGTTAAGATTAAACACGCGTTACCTCCCGTAATTTGATGGTACGAACGCCAAAAAGTTTCAAGTCGATCGGAAAATCCACGTGCGAACACATAGATCAGAATCATTATAATATAAAAACAAATTATTTTAAGCCATTTATCACATTCCGAATTACCGAAGTGCATTATTTAAACATCGCGCTGTCTGATTTTTGCGTGAGAATCTCACTTTGTATCGCAAAAAAAATATATAAATTAGGCGTCGTTAACGATCAGTTTAAGGTCAGCTCATTGTGTTTAATAACGCGCGGACCCAAATCTCTGGAGGTCCAAGACAAGGTAATTGTAACATTGTTTTCATCGTAGCAGCAGCCGTGTGTTCGCATGCAGAAAACACCATTCAATGGTAATTATTCGGTGTTGATGACGCGTGACCACTGTCAAAGGCCTTGTACCTAACCGCCGATACAGAAAGACATGTAAACAACGTTACCAATGCCATAGCTCCCACGAATCACTCTCTTAATCTATAGGTATATTAATACGTGAAGCAAAAACTTTGTATCCCTTTTTACGCAAATTGCGCGTATGAAATTTTCCACACTTATATAGAATATAGAGAAGAAGTGCACCATGTTTTTATATTTTTTTAAAATAATGCATAAAAGATACTTTAAATCAATAAAGAAAACATTACACACACCATACTATTTATGGTCAAACTTTTGATCTTGACGTCTGTGGTGAAATTGAGAATAGATTAAATTTTAATATTGTTTGTCTTTATTAATATTTTTTTATAGTGTAGTCTTGGCGAAATTTGTGATTAGAGAAGTATAAAATACAATCATAATAGTGTACAAAGTTACAATTCCAATTAATTATAGTCGAATTTCGAGTACTGCGGGACCTCTAGTAAAGATAAAAGCGAAGAATGAGTGAGCATCATTTGAAATGCGGGATAATGCATTAAGTCCCACGCGGGTAATTTTGATAAATATTACTCTGAGTGCAATATTAAAATGTTTTCTTTTTCTTTTAGCTGTTTATTGATAAAGGAGACGGTAAGGTCTTCAGTGGAGCTATGCGTCTCTGTCCGGTGTGTCAGTGTTAGGCGATTTATTCGCTATGACACGTATTGTGCGGTCGTGGCTGGTTTCTGTTGATTTTTATGTTTGATATTGCTTGTTTTCTGAACAATTGCGTCAGACGCAGCGTGAAATGGTTTTGTTGTTGTCAAGCTTAATGATTTATATCAGCGAATGTGCACTGTTTTAGATTGTATACCATTACTTGCTTCATAAATTTATTTAGTAAAGGACAAGGCTTTTAGTCGGCGACAATATATGTAATGCAAAACAATAAAGCCGTTTTAAGGAATGTTATTGGAATTCACTTTATTCTGTAAACAAAACAATTTGTGTAGGATCTAAATCTGATCTAAATCTAAAATCTGACGAAGCATGTTGCGGATAATAACATGTATTTTTAGGTTAGGAATATTGTGTTCTTTTTTTTATTACTTGAATTATGTGATTTATCTATCAATATATTTAAAAGAGACCGACTGTAAAAAAAAAAAACAAAAAAAAAAACGGTGTATGATGTCTCAAATATACCGATTAGTTATGTGGTTCTTTAGCCTATGTTTTACCGTGAATTAGAGCGACCAACTAATAGATCAAGGTAATTACGAAAATATGCGGAACATAATCTGAACACTTACAAATCATGGTCGGTGTTTATTTTGACGATATTTTACTTGTGTGTAATTTCGATAATTATAAACAAGAATATATTTAATATTAGTTTTTTTAAGTCAGTGTTTCTCAATTTATTCAAAGTGGACAACGGCTTGGCTCTGTCCCTGGCATTGCTTAAGTTCATGGGCGACGGTAACCATTCACCATCAGGCATACTCGTCTGTCTACAGGGACAATAAAAAAATCGTGGTCTAAAAGATAAAACGTCTGACATATGTACTTGTATTGTATTATGCGATGCTACTGTATGCTGGTTCTAATCCCGCAGCCCGGTACAATTTTTTTGTTGAAATACGTAATATAGTTGAATACATAATATAACAAAGTCTCAAGCAATTGTTTGTCCAGCCTCTAATGATTAAGGTTTTTAAAGCTATGTCGATGCCCTGCACTTTCTCAGCACTTAAAGGCGAGATCAAATTAGTTCAGATTATAACGGAATGCGAATTGATGGAAACGCAGTGAAAAGATTATTTGTCTACTGTATTAATCGCACTATACAGGGTGTTCGACTATACAGAGCTAATTTCGCCAAATAATTATTTGTTAATTACTAAAACGACACACAAATTGAAGACAGATGAAAGACAGTGTTAATAATTCTAAATGCGAAAACTTAAAAAAAATCCATTCGAAAGTTTTTATTTCAATATATTTTTTTGAATAATTGATACAGTGCAAATAAAGCAAAGTGCTTTCTATAGCTTCAAAATACATGAGGGGCATGTCGTGGACAGGTGGTCGCGACCAAAATGTGACTTCGGTGGACCCCTCCTCCCCAGCGGAAATGTTGTCGATGTCCTGGGATGAGAGATGCAGCTTGGTTCGATTCTCTAATCTTAACAAATGTTGATCAATCCCTTTCACGGCTCTGATCCTGGCTAATGATTAAATCGCGAAGCCACTTTTGACTCTGTTTCCAATTTTTTATTCTATTTAAATAAGGTTTTCTCGATTGAATACGTTAAATTTTTATATTTTACAATTTTTGTTATTTCTAATCATTTTTTTCGCTGTTCTGGCGGTCATGTTATAACTCGTGAATCTTCTGTTTGGATATGTGTTTATTATTAATGTCTACAGTCAGATTTATATCTAAACATATCGAATCGCGCCTTGATTACGATTTCATTGAAACTCAACGAAAAAACTCGACAAAAAGTATTTAGTCGTGCCTAGGAGCACTAGTTAGCATTGAACTTGAGAGATACGATATCAATCGCTTCTGACCTTTCCAATCCGTAAATGGAAATACTTACATTATTATTAACTTACGTAATATATACGTGATAATTTGCCACGCAGATATATTCTGGATAGAACGAATTCATTGAAAAACAACAAAAGTAACCTGATTAATGACTTGATTGAATTCTGTATTGTCATCCAAAGTCAGAAAGAGCAGCCAAAAGTCAAGTCAAAAGACACTATACTGAGACTTTAGAACTTGTATCTCAAGGTGGGTGGCGCGTCTACGTTGTAGATGTCTATGGGCTCCAGTAACCACTTAACATCAGGTGGGCTGTGAGCTCGTCCACCCATCTAAGCAATAAAAAAAAAAAAAAACACACCATGAGGAGTTGCTAACATGCACGCACATCAATAATATTAGAGGATTTCTTTCAAGCTTTTTCTGAAGAAAAACGTATTAAACGTCTAACAAACTAAGTGGTTACGGAATCGTTCCAACGTGAACGATAAGACCCACATTGCGAAATAAGGTCTAAGCTCCAACTGTATAGCTTCGGCAGAAATATGTAGGGTAATGTTAGCAACTAACTGCTCTCACGCTATATCATATCATTACGTTATCATTTGATGCTTAGAACTCTTTTTTGGTCAGGAGGAAGTCGCCAAACTTCCGCCCTCCACTGGGAATCGCTTGCGGGGCTTGTCGGAGTCGAACCGACTAAAACCTCCTGTCGCTCAAAAAAAAAAGGACGTTATTGTTGTTGACACGTGCTCCGATAAACGTATAAATGTTTTGCGAAATACAAGAAACAGGGTAATATCGAAGATGTTAAATATGTCGCGGTACGATTTTAGCCGCGATTTTCTATATTTAAAAAAAAAAAATATTGCTTAGATGTGTGTTAAGTAGTTACTGGAACCCATAGATATTTATAACGTAAATGCGCCACCCATCTTGAGATATAAGTTCTAATGTCTCAGTATAGATACAACAACGGCTGCCCCGCCTTTCAAACCAGAACGCATTACTGTTTCACGGCAGAAATAGGCAGGGCGGTGGTGCCTACCCGTGCAGACTCACACACAAGTAGTCCTACCACCAGTAATTACGCAAATTATAATTTTGCGGGTTTGATTTTTATTACACGATGTAATTCCTTCACCGTGAAAGTCAATCTTGAACAAAATCATCGTGGAAGACGTTCGTTGAAATGAAATGTAAATCAATAATTATAAACCTTAATTGAATTAATATACGTTAGCCTCGTTCCTAATCCAATTAATTCAAACTTTATCAACTATTAAGTTCACACAATAAATATCGTTTTAGAATATATATTTTTTATACTATTATTTTGTATTCTACACCACATCGCTTTACAACAAGGCCAACATTTTACATTATTTACAACTTCACATTATTTAATTTACTATTGCGCCTTTGAGATTAACTTCTGTGTCTCTATAGCAAACCTAGAGCTTAGCGTTACATACGCTTATTATGGTTTAAAAATGTACTTCATGATTTTCTGATAATCAATCATTCCTTTGATTCGGAAATGAAATATCTTATTTTAAGACGTCATTAGCGTTGTTTTAAATATGAGTTTATTGTCAATCTTACACCAATGATCGTGTTATGCACCTTAGAGTCAGATGAGCTAACATAAAAAACTATTAATTTGTTATTAAGTACTGCGCAACTTGTGTTGTTGTGGTTGTAATCCAGTATCCATTTTGGTACGCTGGTACATAGGGCCCTCACAAGTTGTCTCCACTTGACCCTGTCTTGCGTTTGCTCCTTGACAATAATCAATAATAGTTGCCATCCTTACTTAAAAATTAAATCTTGTATTAATCATAATCATTTAAATAAACACTTAACCGATAATGTAGATTAAAATAAAGATACGTTAACCTATATAATAAGGAAACTGAAGTTATTTTGTATCAATTTGTTCGAAAATGCGTACCGCCATATTGTTGTTTGTTTACGGTTTGGCCGCTGTCACAGGTAATTTGATTAAACTATAATATTATATTATTATATACTAATATATAAATCTACAGTGGTTTTCACGGATGTTCCGTTATAACTACTAAACCATGCATCCGATTGACTTGAAACTTGGTATCCATGTAGAAAATATATGTACTTAATGGATAGGCTAATATTCATATGAGTGATGGACTCCTTAATAATAATGACAATAAATAATAATGTTAATTTTAAATGCCCAGCGAAGCGGGCGAGTACGGCTATTAATTATATATAAATAATATTATAATTTATTAATTTTGTAATCATAAATGAACAAAGACAAAAACTTAACTACTACTTTCTCTTCAGTATATTAAACTGCTTTTTTTTCATGTGTATTGAACAGTTTTAGGTGTACTTTTCAAAATGTGAAATACAAAAAAAAATTATTAATGAATATAATAAACTAATCGAAATTTTGAAGTTTCAATGATTCCGATTGATTCTCGAGCATTGCGCGAACAATAAAAATATTAAATATCGTATAAGCGATGAACTTTAATGAGATGAAACTATTGATATTCAGTACTAAGTAAAGTAAGTAAGTTTTTATTTCGACTTTTGGATCGCAGCTGTGAGCTGATTTAAGCGCTAAAATCATAAAGCCTCGTCCAAACCATAAGGCATTGTGGAATATTCGATATATTTGTAATGCTAGATTCATCTTAATCGAGGTCAAAATCAGATAAATTTGTTTTGAATATTATAGAGAAAATCAACTATAACTACTTTGAATATTTGTTACTTTGTATCGGCAAAAAAATCTACATTCAATCATGTCACAAATTTTATTCTGAAATAAAACTTCTGACTAATCTCGAATTGTTTTAGGGTGATCGTTTAATTTTTAATTCATGGTGGAGAAATGTTCCTATAATATGCATCCATATACCTCAAAGCTAGTTATTGTTCGATACTGAAAGAATGCGTTATGATTGAACGGACGCTATACACAATACAAATATATAACTGTCTGCTTACGTTACTGGCGACCAAAACATAGTCGAATTACCAAAATTATACTTTCGTCTTAATTATCTTCAATTGGATAGCATTCTTTCCATCGGACTTTGTAGAACTTCTATGGAGCACGTGAGTGTTGAATAGCGCAAATATCTTATTTGAAATCAGATTTTTTTTTAAATTTAATATTGGTTTTCGCTAAGTAAGCAACAAATGTCTCGCCAACACGTTAATACTAGCTTTACAAATTAACATTTAGTTTTGTATTTGATTAGCTGGGCCAACGAATCCACAGAGGATCGTTGGCGGCACCGAGACCACCATCCAGCAATACCCTGAAATGGTGGCCTTGCTTTTCTCGTTCTTGGGCACCTCCTTCAGCCAGTCATGCGGAGGTAGCATTCTGAACAGCAGAGCCGTCCTTACCGCCGGTCACTGCGTTGTGTAAGTTATTTCATTTACCTGGTAAACCACAGTTTTAGGCGTCGACGATCTATTATTCACTAATGAGTTAATGTTTGGCACATGAAAATAGGTTTACTACCTCCAGCTACCTAAACGCAGAGCCAAAAAGATGAAACATGGCTATTCCGATCGCCCGAAACATGTCTTGTCGGATCCCCCGGATTCATTGTCGGTGCTTTTATCATGATCCTCATGCACCGGTCACCGGCCTCCTCGAACTCGTCGATTACGAAGATGAGTTCGACGAGCGAACTAACCCATAGACACAGCCCACTGAGTTTCTCGCCGGATCTTCTCAGAAGGTCGCGATTTCGATCCGGTGGTAGACTCTGCGAAGCACTGATCTTACTAGGGCTTGTGTTAACAAATTCTCTCAGGTTGAAGCCGTGAGCTCACCTACCGTCCGGACGTAGCTAGAATAGCCCCTTAGGCTCCCAGCGACGAGGTAGGGGAAAATAAAACTGTTGTGTCCAATTTGCTGTCCACCGTAAAGATACAAGTCAAGGCAGATTCATAGTTTAATTTTCTAATGTTGCTTGTTAAAGTGGTGATCCGGCATGGCGATGGCGTTTACGTGTAGGATCCTCCATGCCCAATAGCGGTGGCGTGGTTCACAACACGAACAGAATCATTATGCATCCCGGCTACACTACAAGTCTTGGCAACGACATTGCGATCATTCATTCTGCAAGTGCATTTTCCTTCAACAACGCCGTTCGTCCCGCTATCATAGCCGGCTCAAACTACCCATTAGCTGACAACCAAGTTGTTTGGGCTACTGGATGGGGTTCTATCTCTGTGAGTTTCAATTTGTTTTTTATCATAAGCTAATCCTGACTATGTTAAGTATAAATATCGATAAAATGTAAAAAAAAAGGCTGTTTGACCACTTGCGCGATTAAGATAAGTTGCGTAATAGTGTTTGAAGAATGAGGTATTTATTATGTGACGTTGCTTAGAGAAACGACAAAAGTATTCTCAATTTTTATAATTACGTTAAATGTCTGGAATTTTCAGGGTGAATTTAAATTCTTCATCGTCCGAAATACACTTTTACGCCATGAGATTTTTCCAGATTCAGTACAGGGGCTTCACAGATTTTATGAGTGGGACTAACGAAGCTTAGAACAAACAAACAAAAGTACCGGCTGGTCACGAGTGCCTATCAGAGGCAATAGGAGCTTTAGTTATTTAATTGTAAATCGAAAATAGTTGAACTAACTTAGTTTATTTTGTTACAGTTCCATGGTCCCCTGTCACCTGTCTTGCGCCACGTGCAAGTTTACACAGTGAACCAAAACATCTGTAGGCAGCGTTACTCAGAAATCGGTCGTAGTATCACCGACAACATGTTGTGTTCTGGCATTTTGGATATAGGCGGTCGCGACCAATGCCAAGGCGACTCCGGTGGTCCCCTCTTCCACAACAGAAACGTTGTCGGTATCTGCTCTTGGGGTGAGAGATGCGCTTTACCACGATTCCCTGGTGTCAACGTGCGTGTCACCCGATACACAGCTTGGATCCAAGCGAATGCTTAACTTCTGATTTCCTTAATTATGATTATTTAAATAATATAGTCTTCAAAAATTAATTTAAAATAAATTTCTCTCACTTTTCATGAAGTCTTTTATTATTCAATGACGCCGTGAATGTTGATTTAAAATTTCTTCATACAGCAAGAATCCTTTAATTTAATTTTTGACATTTGGAAACATCACCGTTTGCGTGGATAAGAAAAACATGTGATCTTCGAATCTCTAGACATATCTTTAAGAGATACGTCAGTTTTACATAAAAACATATCGAATCGCTCCTTGACCATGATTTAATCGCAGCTTAAGAAAAATAAAAAATAAACCAACAAAAAGTAATTGGACTTTATGAGGTATTGGCGTCGTGGCTAGAAGCACTAGTTCGCATTGAACTTGAGAAGATGATATCAATCGCGTGGTTTTTAGCGCGGAAGCATATTTTTTTCTTAATTGTTGCGATGATCTGACCACAAAACGTATGAGTGTTTTTCTAGACATTTATTTGATCGTAACAGAGATTGAATATTATATTAATTGTTATCAATCATTGCCAAATTTTCAGGGTGATACCAAAAAGAAGGGTCGCCCCGTGTTTTAATTTTTTTTTTGTTCGTGCGTTTTAAGGGGTGTTTTAAAATAATAATAGCTTGTCAGTTTAGTTATCTTGAATACTAGCAACAGAGCCGGCTAAAAAATAGTGGATATAACAATTAAATTAATGTTTCTTATCCTGTTGATACTAGTCAGGATATTAGAGCGTAGTTATAAAAAATATTGTATTATCATTGGACCTTGATGGATGATTGGACGTCTTGAAATCGATAAAAATAATGTTTAAAGATTCCGTTGCATACATTCAGACCAAACTTATAAAAGCATGTTAAAAATCATTGTATTTCTACGTTATGCTTAGTTATAAAGTAGGTATGTAGTATTTTTCCAACGTGAAAATGTGTAGATTATACGACTAATTTTGATTTTTATAGGGTTTTATGATCTGGTAACTAAGACCTTTAAGTCATGTCTTATTTTAATTTATATGCTTGTTTTTATGAACAATGATAATATGGAGTGAAATGAAATGAAATGAAGATGATTAATTTGAGACATTAATCAACTGGAATGAAATTAAATGAAATGAGATGAGGTGATATGGGATGAAATATAATCTCAGTAAAATGGTGGTCATTTACTGAGATTTTTTCAGTGGACTTTTTGGATGATACCGAGAAGTCCCGTCCAACGGCTTTGTTTCATTTTCCCACATCTGTGCATTTTCACAGAGATTAAACAGTTAATAAACCACCGTTATTACACATTTAAAGCTGAAGAAACACAAAATAGACAATATAAAACAAATCACACAACTTCACTCCTCGCGTTCCCGTCAAAAAGTAGACAATTTTTTTTTTATGAGCATTCGTTTGTAATATTATACGGTGTTAGTTATCCCATAGTATGAAAATTGCATTCTATATCCACAATTTTACTTGCAAATAAATGTATAATAATTTTGCTATTCGTACACAATTCAATATCTTATTAATTTGAGGCGAACGTTTGTGTTCGTATCCGGTTGTCTGACGTGGACCTTGCTTGTAATGAACAACTGCTATTTTCTAAGCTCTGAGTAAATAGCCATTTCAATTTGGTATCTATTTTATACAATCAAAACTTTGTAACTGTACAATTTAGTGTCGCGTGGGGCCTACCAATGGTTTTTATTTAGTAGCATTGTCTGGTAGTCAGAGGCAAATGGCAGAGTAGAATCGATGTATGCCGTAGACATGAAAAAAAATAGGAACAAAAGAAGATTATAAGACTACCAAAAACAGAACGCAAAAATGTAAGCAGATGATCTAGTCAGAGCGTTGCGTGTCTTAAAGTACGATTTACTAGATTTCGTTAATACCAGTAGCTTCATCGTTCCTGCTAGTAGAAAAATATGTTATGGATGAATAACAAAATACTAAAATAAAGTGAAATGAACAGAAATTATAGTTTTTCTTGACACCGGAGGCAAGCTTACCTTAAGGTAGCTGGCCACTATTGGTCATGATCATCAGCATTATGATCGTTAATATATAGGTATATTACATCACTAAATATTACTGGAATACCAAAAATATTTAATCTGTATGTCTGTTCGAGTTATTATTGTTCGGGCGTCGCATATCCGTTCGAATTGAAACTTTTAGTGGTTTATAGCATTTCAGTAAACGTTCCAAAATCTACCAAATAACAACAATGATAATAGATAGCAGCTTTAAAATCTCTACAAGTCGACTTGACGCGAATATGCGATAGTTTTTTTTTATATTGCTTAGATGAGTGGAAAAGCTCACGTCCTAGCTGTCGTTAAGTGATTACCGAAGCTCATAGACATCTACAACGTAAATGCAGCCACCCACCTTGAGATATGACTTCTAAAGTCTTAGTATAGTACAACAGCTGCCCGACCCTTCAAACCGAAACGCATTAAAGCTTTACGTCAGAATTAGGCAGGGTGGTGGTACCTACCCGTGCGGACTTGTGTCGTCCTACCATCAGTAAAATAAGAGTAATAAAGTGTGACTTACTTGGGGGGAGCTTGGATTTCAGCATGTCCATAGCGACGACGTTGATGACCAACACCCAGATGGGGCACTCGAGGAGTTCGTTGTCAGACTTGACGAATGCTACAGCACTGAGACACTGGGTCTCGAGCCTCCTTCGGTCCGGATACGCGCGCCGCAACTCCCGGTTCACGTTTGACTGGAACTTCTTCATGTCGAACAACTAGAGGGCACGAAGCATTTGAAAGATTTAAATTTACGGAAGAACGTTCTAGACTACATTTCTACCGTTTGACTGAGATTCTTGCTAAGGCAGTTGCGCGCATAAATAAGAGATTGTCTTTAAGACAACCACAGGAGAGATTTGTTGTTTTTTTTCCATTGCACTAGATGGGACAACGAGCTCTTGGCTAACCTGGTGCTTAGTGGTTTACCAAACTCATAGGTATGAACAATGTAAATGCCGCCGCCCACCTTAAAAAATGAGTTCTAAATCTCAGTTCTATAGTACAACGGTTTCGCGGCAGAAATAGGAAGGGTTATGGTACCTGCCTGTGCGGTTTAAAAAAACACCCTACCATCAATAATTTTATACTCACTATAAAAGCGGTAACAACGTAATTACATTAGCCGGCACTAATCTAACTCTAACGATTGAAAACGAAATACAAATCTTAACAGACAATATACATCCCAATCATGATCTGACATAAGATAAAGAACAAGTAGTGATGGAATTAATACAAGATTTTTTATCTTAATTAACAATAAACGTGATGAACTAAACAAATAGACGAAAAAATTGATGAGGCTGTTCGTTGAGATGTTATCGAATTAATATTATGTAACAATGCATCGTGTGTAATGAAAGGGCAGGTAAACAAAAGTAAAGTTAAGAAGTGTGAAGTCAAGTATGAACAGTACTAAATAATTTCTGTAAAAAGTGTTTTAAATAATAATCACCTGTTGAGAAATAAAAAGGATAATAGCTTGATAGTTACGTCACTCTATATTGTAGGATATATTACAAGTACTTTAATTGAAGTATTCTGGAATTGGCGGCACTAGTATAGAAACTAACCGAGAATGAGTATATCAGAGGAAGTGTGAAAGTAGCCCCGGTAATTAACAAATTAAAGAGCGTGGTATGGACATGTGATACGTAGAGGGAAGATGCTTGTGACTAGGAGATGTATGGAATTGGTAGTACAGGGTAGAGGGGGAAGAGGTCGACCGAAGAAAACATGGATGGAGTGTGTGAATGGATGAGAGAGAGAGAGAGAGAGAGAGAGGAGTCAGTGTTGAGCTGACGGCTGATAGAAAATAATGGAAGAGAAAAATTGGCTGTGCCGACCCAACCTAGTGGGATAAGATGGAGAAAAAGAAGAGTATAGAAACTAACCAAAATATAAAGAGATATTTAACGTTAATTTATTCATTGCACAAAAAACAAAAGATTTTATATCTTATAGAGGGAACCCTGATAGCGTAAAAAGTAAAAACGCCACGTCAGATGTACCAAAGAAATTGAATGAGGCTTATGAAGTCGTTACATAACCGGTGCACTTTCAAGACGTCACTGCGGCCTTACATCAAGATGTCCGACCAGACGGTAGACAACGGACAAGGAGAGATTTTATCTACAAAAAAGTCGCCGCCTTCGCTATTCGTAAATCATCAGAACGCCGCCACACAGCGGTCCGTTGACGCGCTTTTGAAAATTTTAATCAATGAAAGAATGCGTGTTGCTTCATTGTTACATTACGACAGTGACTTTAGTTAATTGCTCGTTCTCGGAACGGCCCGTGATGAATAACATGCTCTCGGTTTAAAATTGAAAAATGATGTCTTCAACTCAAGATCTTCAAAACTGGTCGACTTGACTGCATTGTTTCACATTAATTTAGTCACAAGGGAATCCGTTGTGGGAACGGAGACGAATCGCACAGAAAAAATCTCAGAGATCAATGTTTCGACACATGCTGGTATTGTTTAAAAGGAAATCCTTTTAAACGTGTCTGCACTTTCATGAGAGTGGTCCATATTGTGCGGACTTACAACACCAAGCAAGCCAATATAATTATTCGTTTCGTAAAACTTTGGATCGAAGCATAAGAATTTCGCAATGTATTCTTAACCAGAGTTCGTTAAGTTGTTTTAGCATCGTTTTGGGCTCAAACAATGCGTCTTGCTTTCGAAGAAGTTTGTTTTACTTTATTACTGTTAAGAAAGTATAGATTAGTTGTGGATTGTGTTTTTTCGTTCCTACAGGCATATCTTTTCGCATTGTTGGTAGCTTACGTATAATGACGACGCATATGAAGTCGTCGTGGCCTAAAGGATAAGACGTCCGGTGCATTCGTGTTGAGCGATGCACCGGTGTTCGAATCTCAGGCGGGTACCTACCAATTTCTCTAATGAAATACGTATTCAAAAAATGTTCGCGATTGACTTCCACGGTGAAGGAATAACATCGTGTAATAAAAATCAAACCCGCAAAATTATAATTTGCGTAATTACTGGTGGTAGGACCTCTTGTGAGTCCGCGCGGGTAGGTACCACCACCTTGCCTATTTCTGTCATGAAGCAGTAATGCGTTTCAGTTTGAAGAGTGGGGTAGCCGTTGTAACTATACTTGAGATTTTAGAACTTATATCTCAAGGAGGGTGGCGCATTTACGTTGTAGATGTCTATGGACTCCAGTAACCACTTAACACCTGGTATGCTGTGAGCTCGTCCACCCACCCAAGCAATAAAAAAAAACATAAATTAATTCGAGTTCTTTCTCCACTAAAGCAATCGTACAATTATATTTAGAAAGAACTAGAAAAGGATAGTCATTTTGTTAAGAAAAATATCGTGGCAATGTCATGGTCACAATGAATCGTGCATCACAATCTATGCAGTCGTGATGCACCACAAATGACCAAGCCACAATGCAACGCACATTAGAGCAATTTCTGACCTCTTAATATTTTTTCCTCAATGATTATTGTCTTTAATAATGATGAACGCAGGTAATTTTGGTTCGAATCTGGATAGTGAGGCAATTCCAACGTGCAGTGTGCTTATAATGTCATAAGGAAGTAAGTGTAATGAAGATAATTTGAAGCTTTAACTAACAACATGTAAAACAAAATGAAAATGTAATAGCGTTGAGGAACAAATTAAAATTCTTGAATTGATTATAATTTACTCGATATAAAATTAGTGTTACTCAATTTGTTAAGATATATCGTTATGTAAGCCATAACATCTTGACGAAAATTATTATTACCAAACACACCCGTTCTGTATAGAAACAAAATATTGTATCTAAGAAGATTACCTTGTTTGTTCACTTTATAAATCAAATTCTCGAGCTATTTAGATAAAGCTCAGATTTGCTTGAGGCTTTAGAAAACTGTAATTCGGATCATGTGTGTTCTGATGCAACAGGAAGGATAAATTCAGAGCATACATATAATTAGGCGCATATATCGTATTAATCGCTCGTACAAATAGCCGTCATTAAGATGATTTCATATTATAACCTACCGTGTATTATAGACGCCAGATCAAGAAATTAGTATGTTGTTAATCTTACATTTGCGATAGACCTCTCAGAAAACAAAATACAATCTAACGCTATACGTCATGTATACAATTCAAATTTTCACATGCTTACTACCAGTAATAGTTTTTTTTTTTTATTATTGCCTTTATATGCAGACGGGCATACGGCCCACCTGTATGTTGATGAGAGGTTACTGTCGCCCATGGACTTCAGCAATGCCAGGGGCAGAGCCAAGCCAGTGCCTACCGAGTTTACCTATCCATACAGAAAAACATTTGTTTTCAAAAATAGTTAATGTTCCAATTTTACAGGAAAATCGATAAGTATGTTATATTTCGTTTTTGGTGGGTCACACTTTTTGATTGCTAATCATAGGAGAATTAAGTGATTATTAATAATATAATGGATACCTTAAAAATCTTTTCCTGCTCCAACGAATATCCGGGCAGTTTGAGTATATCTTGTCCGATGGCCGTCTCTTCATTGCTAGAGGCTGCAGTACTCTTCACAAACACGCTACTCTTGGAGTAGCGTCTGATGAGTATATTACCGGCGTCGTCCATTTTGATTTTGACACCCTGCAAACGAAAGCCTTTGTTTTAAATATTTCAAATAAGATCTTAGGAATAAGGATTAGGTAAAACCGACGACACGTTTACGATTTAAATTAGAAAGCTGAATGGTCGGTGGCTTAACGAAATATGAAATAAATGGGTTGAAATTTTAATTTTGGTGTATGTAAATTTGATATCACTAACAAGGCTATTTGTATGTATGACGTGGTCTTCATTAATCTCATTCTGATTTGTATCAGTGTGAAGGTGTTCAACAATGGAATGGTTTTCAATAATCGTCCCACCTATGACATCAGCGACCTCAACTAATTCGCTGAAGCGTGTCAAAGTGTTATTAAAATGTAACGGATATAGGTAGAATAGTTCAAGGAATAAAATTCTTGGCCTGAAGTTTCATATTAAATAATCTTGTATGTATTTTATTTTAAAAATTAATTTGGGTTAATTCAATTAGCAAAACAATAGCATTAAAATAGTTACGGTCGTCTAGTCAAAAGCTAATTGAAAAAAAGGTCACGAAGATGTCCTTTTTAGTCTCCAAATATAGACAGGACAGCAATGTTTAGTTAGGACAGTAGTAGATTACCGTAAGGGCTCAGAATACAATCTACAACATGTTTGAATTCATACTATTACGTGGTTTTTTTTTTTTTTTTTTTTTTTTTTTTTTTGTACCCTTCAGATAAGAATATGCTCTTTTCTTGAATAACCCAATGTCGCAGTTGTTGGGGAAGACCGCTGATGGCAACGAATTCCAGAGATTTACTGTGCGTGGCAGAAAACTGTTTTTAAAACGCATTGTAGTGGAACCGCCAACCATCCAGATGGTGCGGATGATAGTTCCGGCGAGACAATCCGAGATGCCCTACGTTGGATTCGGTCAAAGGGAGATAGCTGATAACCCGGATTGTTATCAAGACATATTTTATTGGTGATTCTTGTTTCAGTATTCTACGCAATCAGCACAGTCTTTTAGGTGCGTGATTTTCTTTTTAATACGCTTTTTTTTTGTCACACTGCTATTTCTTCATTGTTGTAGTCATCCACAGTATTTTTAATACAATCACAATTCAGACTTCAAAATCGCTAATAACAATCTAAATTATTACTAATGAGGATTTCGCTTGATTGAATTGTGACAGCGACAAAAAAACGATTTCGTTAATGGAGATTTTTTGCATTTAAATAAACCTATATATATATATTCATTTACAAATTAGTAGTTTTTTTTCTTTTTTTTTCTACTGGGTTCACTGAACCTGTAGGCAAGTTTACGAAGCTCAGTCTGGCGAATTTGCTAACACTGGCCCTAGCAAGGGCAGTGCTTCGCTGAATCTACCATCGAGTCGCGACCTACTGAGATCCGGCGAGAAACTCAGTGGACCCTTTGTCGATAAAATTGAATAATACCGTTGCATCTAATTGGATATCATTAAATACGATTAACAATAATCCACTACAAATATTCCAAGATAAAGCAACGATTTTTTTTAAACAAATGTATTATTTGATGATAACATATTGTTGATTAGGAGTTTTATTTGAAACTAGTTTTTACCTGCGGCTCCGTCCGCGTAGAGTAGTTACTTAAGCATAACGCTAAATTTTACCCCATACTTCATTTACGTAGAAAGTGAAAGTATTTTTGAATTTTAGAATGTTAAGGAGCTATTTAAACCCCTATTTTGAAACATTCTTTATTGGTGCTCTACTTGTATCGATCTTAGTGTGATGTTATATATAGTTATATATAGCCTTTCTCGATAAATGGGCTAACTAACACTGAAAGAATTTTTCAAATCGGACCAGTAGTTCCTGAGATTAGCGCGTTCAAACAAACAAACTCTTCGGCTTTATAATATTAGTATAGATAAGATTATAGTTTGAAAATATTAATAAGGAGTAAATCTTAATATATGTTAGTGTGTAAAAAACATGTTTATTGTCCTTGTAGGCAGATGAGAGTACGGCCCACCTAATGGTGAGGGTTACCGTCGCCCATGGACTTCAGCAATGCCAGGGGTATACCCAAGCCGCTGGTCTACCACTCCACGGGCCTAGTTTGACAAAGGATACGTCAAAGCATTCAGGAAACACCGTAGAGGGGAGCTCATTCCAAAGTCGGATGGTACGTGGCAAAATAGATCTCTGGAAACACACTGTGGATGAACGCAGTGGTTTCAGGTAGAATGGATGAACTCTACTCCCCCGGCGTGCGGCGCGATGATGAAAACCAGATGATGGGATCATCGCAAACAATTCTTCAAAGCACTACCCATAGAACATACAAAAAATACAGAGAGAACCAAAGATTCTCCGCAGACCCAGAAGTTCTAAAATTGTTCACAGCCGTAACGTATTCACCATGTATAAAATTTACGTCGTTAATTTGCTATGCACGAGTTATGTTTGTGCTTTAAACATTTGGCTGTGAGTCGATAAAAGCATAAGAGTGTCATCTTTTATGAAAAATTAAATGTTACAAGTTTGAGATTAAGTAAACATCAACTAAATCCCATTTTAAATTGAGTAACAAACAAAATGAACAGAGATTGCTCTTTTAGTTTCGGCCATTGTTGTAAATGACGTCATCGTTATCGTTAATTTTCATTGTGGTTTTGCTAGTAACGCTTGTTCTAGTAATAATAATACTCTGAATATTACTTGCAGGGGTGTCACCGGATCCGGCAGCGGGATATTTTGTAATATTATGGTTTAAGGGAACTCGTTTTTAATTGTCTTACGCCACTAAATTTCGTAAGTTCAGCGTCCCGTATCTAACTTGTTCGTAGCCAAATCGCACCTAATACATAATGACATCCATATTTGTATAATGGACAAGCCCGTAACGAATTAAACTCCTCCTTAAATGTAATTGAAAATGTCTAAAGAACACATACATACATCCAAATGATCTTTGTAAAATAAAAATTCAAGAACGCAATCATTAGGCACGGCTAATAAATATTTTGGATACATTAAGCTACCGGCTTAGTGGTAAATGATAAACAATCTGAATATTAGAAAGAAATTACAAATTTTTAAAAATGTAAAACAAAACAAACAAAAAAAAACATTTAAACATTTAAATCAGAATTCCTTTGTATTATCGACCTTGCGTTAGACAGTCGACGCATCTAATTTGAATATCAAAATTTCCATCCTATTGTCGAGGACTTGTTGGTTTCTACTCGCGATTGTTCGTTGATTTTATAACAAGATTTGTTATGTTACGTGTTATACACCATCGCTTCCTGTTATAATTGCCTTGCGAACATCCATTGTTAGTTGAAGCAATTCGGATGATGGCTCGTCAAAATTTTTTGCTGAACATCGCCAAAGGTCTGGATAATCTCAGATACGACTCATTCGTTTAGTTTAAATAATGATCTCATAACCTTTTAATTGGCTTTTGAGCTGAGTCAATGTTTTTTTGTCATGAAAAATTAAAATTATGTTGTGCAGTTAAAATAGAGAGTTTGGACTGATAAACGAATTGGAAAAATATGTTAGCGCTGTATCGCATTGCTACGGCCGGCATTTTATTCAGGTTGTTATTTTCGGTATTTCGTATAGTACTATCAAAATTAGGGCATAAAATTAAGGCATGCCGGCGTAAGTTTTCTGTACGATTACACGAATAAAGTATTTTTGGTAAATCAACCAAATCTTAAGTGAGGACTTAGGTGCGAACATGTGAATAGTTATCGAAAATCAGGGGATACTGGTTTCCACTGTTTTCCACTTTTTTGCCATTCACCCATAGACACAGTATTTTAAAAAAAATCCTTCCCTCTTAATTCCTAACTCATATCCAGTGTATTGGATTTTGTAGGTCCACTTGGTTTCACTATTCTGCGTTGAGGAAGTCATGTATTCTTTATTGAATTATAAAATAATAAAATAATTGTATGATATACCAGATAGTCTGTCAGGTTTACTGTTCATATGTCTTAAGATGGGCAGTGGAATTCACGATGTGTTGTCTATAAGCTTAGAGTTGAGAGCAGAACTACAAGCTGAATAAGTTAATCAAAATAGAGTTTTAGAATTTCCGTTCAATATTCCAGTACAACAGCGATGTCATGCGTCGTGGTTGACATTGTACCAAATTCTTTAATGTATTTTTTATTTACGAGTTTTTTTTTAATGTAACTAACCGACTTATTGTATCCCGATTTCAAGTTTCTATTACATAATAATGCGTGATGTAATGTTGTTTAAGGACTATCTAAAGGCGCGGTATTTTGTTTTCCTTTATCGACAACCTTGCATTCTGACGATAATTAACAAAAAATCTACAATTTATGAGGTTTTTTTTGCGCTTAAGGCACCTGCCTTGTGTCCATTTTTATTAGGAATATTAGTTTTAGGATTGACTATTTATGATATTATTTAGTAGAAATAATAGATACTATATTTAGGGACGGATAAGATAGTACTAATAGATGGTAAACAGTCGACGTCGCCCCAGGCAGGTCATTTCGGATCCTCCCGATCTATTAGCGGTGCTTTTAGGTACCTTAAGCACTGGTCACCGTTCTCGTCGAACCTTGCGACGAAGGGTTCGGCAAGTAAGCTAACCCATTGATAAAGACCACTGAATTTCTCGCCAGATCTTCTCAGTAGGTCGCGTTTCCGATTCGGTGGTAGATTCTGCGAAGCACTGTTCTTGCTAGAGCCAGTGTTAGCAACGTCCCCAGCCTGAATAGCCCTGAGAGCTCACCTACACGCTCGCTTACGCTGGCATAGCCTCTTAATGCTTAGGTAGGGAAAAAAAGGTACTAATACATGAACTCGGAATTCCCTGTCCATCAAGTATTCCTAATAAAAAGCCGAATGGATTCATGAAAAGCTCACCGAGACTTTTTCGGCATAAAGGGGTCTCAAATTGAATTTTCAAAAAATCAATCTGAAAATTAGTCTTGCCAGTTATCTATATATCAGGATATAGGGCTATACTATCTTTAACTAAAACATTCGTAGTATTATGTAAACCTATTTCCAGTGACAGCAGCTTCTTCTCAAAAAAATGCCTAGCCAAAATGGTTCGAGCTTCCACCTCTAATTTTCTCTTAGTTTTACGGGTGGAGGATGATTATTAAACTACGGGTTAACACTCCATATTTCTGCCATAAGTCATTGTAGCATAATACTGTTAGAGCTCACACTTAATACACCATAGTGGGGGGCGGCAATGGACACGTCCATTAATCTGATAAATGAGGTCGTCTCTTAATCTAGAGCATCAAAAACTTATACGATGAGGCTACTTTTTATATGAATAAATTTTGGGAAAGTAGCTCGTAGTGTTTGTATACACTTACTGATATTCAAAATGATATAATTACCTGTCCTACGTGTCTTTTCAATTCATCCGTCTTCTGATCTCTATGTGGATTATCGAAGCCGCATAGACCAATTCTGCAAAGATAGAAAGAAACGTTTAATTGCTAGTGACATTGGCATGAAGGCATCAAAATTCAGAACACGATCTCATGTTTTGATGTAAACTTCTCCTGGAACGATGCCAAGCGAACGAATTGCTTTAAAATGTGAAAAATATCTTTATCATAAATAACATCGTATTGTTTACGAGGATTGGCAACCGCAACAACTATTTGCATGTTACTATGCGGTCGTAATGTGCAACATTGGTTTTGCCGCGAGAGAAATTTTATTTTACTATTTTCAAAATTTATATTGTAAAAAGAACATTTGGATATTATTTAAGCGAGACCTTAAAGTACAAAATAAAACTTTAAATTAATTTCCAGTGTTATTATGATGTGCAATTTCCGCATGTTTCGAAGGATTTCTTTAGTAATAAAAATATCCTTTAATCATGCATGTCAAGTTAATATTACCGACTCATCGTTTCGCAGTATTTAACATACTTAATTTTTGTGTCTGTTTCATTAATACTTATAATAATATATGGATGGGTGAAAAGCTATTTGGTTTAAGCAACAAGCAACTTTACGGGAGGGCCATTTAAAGATTACAATTTGAAAAAAATATCATAACAAAAAAACTTCTTCAGCTTCTTCAACATCGAAATGTTGGTGCTAATAAAATGCACCTTTAATTACAAAGATAATTGTCGTGTGTGAAGCGAAAGATATAGTTAGTTATATAGTATAAGTTTATTTATTCCGGTAATATATTTACATATACAGATGTAAGCGTGAATGTTCCTTTATAGTATGTTGTTTTTAAAACGTACGGACCAGTGAATTAATAATGCAAACCCCTGCATTCACGAGCCCTGAGATAAATGAAAAAAGATTCTCCCTATCAAATCTCACGTATCCTAAAAGAATTCGTAGACGCATTAGTATTTTGTAAACGTAACCTATCGAAGTATCGTTTTCTTAAAACCGTACCTTGGCATTGTCATGTGAATCCACGGCGTTCCCTTATTATTATTCAACATAAAGACGAACTGCCTCTTATGTATACCGATCGAAGGTTTTTGTATGCGTTGTTACAGTTTCTTTTATAGGTATTAGTCAAAGGATTAGTAACGAAAGTTTATTACGCTTCAAGAATTCGAAGTTAGGTTTATGGTAATTTCGGTTTACGTAATGCATTGTGAAAGTACCTATGTGTATTTAGAAACGTAAGGAATTCCGTTTGTCAACAACACAGTTAAAATAACATAGTTACGCATTAATAATTATTACATTTTGAGAAAAAAAAGCAACGAGAATTGGTGGTTGAGATTAATAATTATTATTGACTTACTAAATTAATAACTTCTGCTTATTCAATAAAAGAGAAAATATTTTTCATTTATTTATAAACCTAAGCTAATAGCCTTGAGAGGCCATTTCAGCGTAACCCTAAAAAGTTAGTGAGCTCACGGGGTTCAAGCCTGACGACGTTGCTAATACTGGCCCTAGCAAGAGCAGTACTTCGCAAAATCTACCACTGGACCGGAAACGCGACCCACTCAGAAGATCCGGCGAGAAACTCAGTGGGCTGTATCTATGGGTTAATTTACTCGTCGAGCCCTTCGTCGCAAGCACAGGTTTTGGCGAGGACAGTGACCGGTGCTTGAGGTACCTTAAAGCACTGTTAATGGGTCGGGAGGATCCGTAATGACGTGTTGAGGGCGACGTCGACTGTTTACCATTCGGTCCACCGGATCGAGTATGATGGCAGCAATGTGTAAATAATAATGTTAAATATTTTGATTAAAAAAATATGTTAAATAAAAATATAAAAGACGAATTTTAATTTTTCAGTACAAATCGGCAATTTCTTACTTTAACCCTAATAGAACACTAAATAAAACATTGGTGGTAGGGCGTCTAACTAGTTGTAGGTTGTCAACCCACACGGGTAGGTATCACCATCCTGCCTATTTCTGCTGCGAAGTTCTGTGAAATACAACTTAGTAATTCTTTTCGGCTTCAAGGGTAGGACAGCCGTTGTACTGTAAAAACTGAGACCTAAGAACTCATGTCTCGAAGTGGGTGGCCGCATTTACGATGTTGACATCTGTGCTCCGATAACCACTTAATACCAGGTAGGCCGTGAGCTCGTCCACCCACCTTAGCAATAAATAAATGAAACTACGTACTTCAAAGATTCGATTTTATTTCGTTCTATTTTTGAGACTTCGTTCACAATGCTTGGTTATTATGTTTCGGTCCACTTACAAAATTATGTAGTTGTATGATATTATAGGACGTAAAGATTACCTCCCTTTTATTTTGTTAACACCGACGATTTCACAGTCCTTCGATATAATTGTCAATATCACAATAACGGTCATGAAGGCGATAATTGAATTGATAATACGCCATGTTCGTACGTGGCTGTGTAACATTGTATTATGTTCTGATATAGTCGAATTATCTGACCTCTGGGCGCGTTTTAGAAAAATGAGAAGTGGGTCAAGTTCTATTGTTCGAAGCTGAGATATTATTGAGGGGATACTGATTTTAGAGTTTCTAAAATTAACACATTAGATGTACTCCCAATTATTAGGTTAAATTAGCTATTCTAAATAATAAAAAGGAAGTAATTTCAAGACCTATATCGCAACAAAATTATTAGCTAGCTATTCACAAAAAGAAAAAGAAAGTAATTCCAAAAATCTATATCGCAACGAGCAAGCCATTGGCTTCCGATTCGAAATCAAACGTCTGCCTTTAAAAGCGTATTAACAAAATACGTTAAATACAATTCGAAGTGATAACTTAGATTAATTAGTTTGGTCGGTCGGTTCGCGACAGGCGGTTCGAGTTGGTTCGAGTGAGCGGCCCGACCTTGGCTCCGCTCACCGGCTACCGTCTGACGTGAACACCCACTTGGAGACAACGAATACGTAACTTGCTACAATTAACAAGTCACGGCTTTTTTATTATTTATAATACCATAAAGGATATGTTAAATTTTTGGGATTAAAAAAAGACGTGTGACACTCGGGGACTGCCGCGGTAAAGCTATTGCAAAGCATTTTTTATCAACTTATGCAATTACAATTAGACAATAGTAATTTAATATTAAAACAATAATAAGAAAAATAAGACCTCGCTATATTTATAAACATTAACAAAAGCAAAACATTAACAGTCCCCTTCAGACTCATAAGCTAGACCGCGTGAGAGAGAGAGAGATGGGCAGACTTTTCATGATGCTCATGCGACGTCACGCCGCGCGCTTATTCCCAAACACTACACCAGCGCAACCTGTGAATGTGTTGAACGCGAGCTACATAGTAGGCGTAGTGAGGGTGTCAGGTTATTTTCGTTACGGAATTTCTTGATTCAGTCGCCGCGCTCAAGACCCGCGATAGAAGCTATGCAATAGCTTAAAAAAAAACTTATGTGGTTGGAATAGAAATACACTGTTGGACTTTTCTTTGGTTTGCTCGAGTTGTAGACATAATGTAGACATAATTTCGTCGTAATACTTTACAGTCATCCTTCGAAATTTTAAAAATAATATAATGCAATAAAAAATGCGAGTTTAAACCGTAAAAGTACTATTAATAAAGCATTGATTAGCCGACTTAACTTAATAATATAACTTAATAATATTAAAAATATAATAACTTAAAATAGGTTAATAGGCTCTAAAAAAAAAAAGCATTGGTTCATTCGCTACCACTTGATCATGTTTGGTATCATTGCAATACTGTGCAACAAAATGGTTGTCTGTAAACATTTTCCGAAATCATTTTATGTAGCCGAAAGTTAATAGAATAGAATTTAAAATATTATGTTGTGTAAATTGTACTGTCTAATAACGTTTCCGCTGCACGCAATGTAACACAAATTATCTGACGCTCGACATTAACCGTAGTTTGTGACGAGCTATTTTTAGTTACTACGAACAGACACTACGAATATATTGTATACTAGCGATCCGCCGAGTCCCGCGATGCTACCCACGGTTATTGTCGTACCGCGGATGACGCCGCGGGGTGAAGCTAGTCTAAAAAGTAGCCTAAGTTACTCCTTATATCATCAGCTACCTGTCAGTGAAAGTCCTGTCAAAATCGGTCCAGACGTTCCAGAGATTAGCCGGAACAAACAGACAGACAGACAAAAATTGTAAAAAATGTTATTTCGCATTATGTACCGTATATATATTCATAAGCATGTGGTAAAAAGCGGCTATTTCAGTATTACAAACAGACACTCCAATTTTATTTTTATGTATAAGATGTCTAGTTATAAGTATCTATACATGCATTCGTTGTGATATTTATATATCGAAAATGAAATGATCTCTGTGTGCTTAGTGCGAGTTTTTTAACTTTCTCGATAGCGTAAAAGTTAGCTCATATTTGTATGGAATGGGATCGCTTGCCTACGTTTGCCGCTAGGGGTACTGTTCCAACTGCATACAACAAAATTGGGTTAACTTTTACGCTATCGAGAACGTTAAAAAACTCGCACTAAGCACACTGGTCACTTAATATTAATAAACGCGGTTATCCTACCCTCCGAACCAAAACACATGAACTGTCTGTCTATACCTTTTTGAATACGAATCATTGGAACGGTTACACCGATTAAAAGGTTTTTAGTAGTGTATTGAGCTAGTCTCTTTCTAAAAGAGTTGGTTTCGTTAAAGTCAACTGATGAACTTTAGTAATAATAAGATTTTGTAACAATTTTTAGGTACTTTTTTATAGCAGACAATGTATTTGATGTCTTGTCTTCTTCTTCTTAACTTTATGCCCACTATATGGGGTCGGCACATTATGGCCTCTTTGTCCATTCATACACAGTCCTTCCAAGCCGTTTTTGGGACTATATAATTGATTTACGAATCCTAAATTTAATACCGTAGTTCGTGTATCTATAAACAAGTCTCAATTCTAAATGATATCGAGGACAAACGTGATCAGTCCAAGGACATGTCCATTGTTTTATCGCAATGTTGTTCGCCAGGTATGGTTT